CCCATCCCTCATCTCATCCCTTCTATCCCCCTCCCAGTTTGCACAGAAGATCTCATCTAATTCTCCTTCCCAGGGTGATCCACACATCTCTCTTTGGGCCTTCCTTGTTACTTAGCTTCTAGAGCTGTGGATTGTAGTCTGGTTGTCTTTTTTTTACATGTAATATCTACTCATGAGTGGGTACAAACCGCGTGAGATTCTTGATTATTCTGTAATGTAAATGGGTTTGGTTTCAAATAGTATTTCTTGTCTTCTCTAAATCAGCTCTTCCAAGCTTGCCAGACCAGTTAACATCACTGCATCTGTGTATGCTCTTATCCCTCAAATTTGATTATTACTATTTCACCTCTCTTGTTCTCCCAGTCCTTTACTTAAACGCCTTTCAGTAGATTTGGGAAATAAGGATGTACTGTGCTCAGTTTAATCATGATATTCTGGAAAGCAGCATACTAGCATAATTTGTAGAATACTTTCATGTAATTCTATTCTGATTTTTCAAGTATATTTAGCTTTTATATAAGAATTCTCTATTTTCTACATTTAACTATTTCTATAAATGAAAAGTGAAGGAGATTATTCTGTGTCTACATAGGACAGTTATAATCTTTCCAGGACTCTATGAGACAATACAGTATTCATTATATTCTGGTTTAATTCATGTTACCCAACGGGTTTTGTTGTTGTTTATCTGGCTTTGGTATCCAGGTAATACTGACTTCATAAAAAGAATTTGGAAATATTCCTTTCTTTTCTATTTTGTAGAATAATCTGTGTAGTATCAAGTGTTAGTTCTAGTTCATTAGTGTCTGCTCTGATCTTAAATTTTTGAGACTAGGTCTTACTGTGTAAACTTGGCTGGCCTAGAACTTCCTATATAGAGCAGTCTGGCCTCACACTCACAGAAATCTGCCTACCTCTGCCTCCTCTATGCCCACCCTTTCAACTCACTATCTCCTGTTTTCAGGCTTGGCTTGTTGTTGCTTTTCCAAGACTTGAGGTGCATCATTTATTAAAGATCTTTTGAATGGGAGTGAACCTGTGTGACTAGGTAATGATATTCCAATAAAGCAAAATTTCTAATCCCAGGTATGGGACACCTCCACAGGAGTTCACCAAGGAAGCCCCAGGCGTCCCCAGCACAACACAGGTTCTGTCAGTACTTTTAGTTTTCCACCATCAAAGGCTATGACCTCTTTGCTAAAGAAACGGATACCCTGGTTGCAAGATAGAAAGAAAGCAAGCTGAAACTGAGCTGGAAACTTCCTCCCTGCTGGCGACCCTCACAGTCCCAGAAGGTGCTACTCTGCAGGCTTCTGGGAGAGAAAAGGATGGGTCTTTCCCATCTGTGTATCCTACAAACAGTTAAAAAAACACCTTGCCCAGCAAGATGTGCCTACCTATACAATAGTGACACAATTGTTGTGGAGATAACCAGCTGTCATCTTATAAGATTAAGGCTTGTTCCCAAGAGGAGAACTCACAACTAGTATAAGAAGCCCACTTCACCACCTGAGGAGGTTGTAGGCCCAACTGATGTAACTAAATTGATACAGCATCAAACTGCCTCCTAAATATGTATTTTTATACCCATTGACAAAGATTACTCTCAACCTTAGTTAGAAAATCTTCTCTTTACAATGAACAGCAGTGACTATAGAGAACAGACTCATATAACACTAATATTCTGACAATAGGTGTTGGTTGAAGGCATAGTCTTAAACAAGATATTATACTCCTCCCCCTAAGGCTCAGAGAGCACTGTGGAATATGGATGTAGGAAGTATAGAAAAGCCAAAAGATAAGCCTGTGAGATACCATCTTCTGGTCTCAATACAACTGTCACAGTCTTGAACTCAGCAACTGCAGTTACCCTCACTGGCCCACATAAGTCAGGCCATGTTGATAGTCATGGAAAGGGAAAGGACTCACATCTTACTGTTGCACTATTGGCTATTAACGTTTTGTGGGAACAGGGCAATAATTGTCTCCACTGCTGAGCCTACCAGGTTTCAACAGATAGCTCCAAAGCCACAGTGATTTGTACAGCCTGGTTAAACACAGTGGGCCCCAGGAAATAAAACAAATAGACATGAATGTGAGAAAGTTGTGGGAAAGAGGGGGTGTATGCATAAAGGAGTAGCAGCGAGATGGGAGAGGTTGAAATCAAGAGTGGCTAGTATGCATTGTGTACATGAATTAAATTGTCAAGCAGTAAATTTTATTTAAAAATGTAAAGCTCATGGAATTACGTAAGTAGCCATCTGCCTCAGTAAGAACTTTGTTCAGTCAATATTTGGTATTCAAGGAGTTAAATAGAAAGTGTGTGTGTGTGTGTGTGTGTTTTGCCTTGTTATGCTTTTTTATTTTTGAGAATCTCATACATATACAGAATGAAGTATGATCCTATTTACTCTTAACTTCCCTCTCTAGTCCTCTTAATATCTACAACACAGACCCTCCCAACTTCATGCCGTTTTTTATTTAATGACTCATTAAGTCCAACTAGTGCAGCTCATATGTGCATGGGTATGAGGCTGTCACTAGATCATAGGGAACCCATCAGTCCCTGGAGTATAGGGAGCCCACCAGTCACTGGAGTATAGGGAACCCACCAGTCACTGTAGTATAGGGAACCCACCAATCACTGTAGTATAGGGAACCCACCAATCACTGTAGTATAGGGAACCCACCAGTCACTGTAGTATAGGGAACCCACCAGTGACTGGAGTATAGGGAACCCACCAGTCCCTGGAGTATAGGGAACCCACCAGTCCCTGGAGTATAGGGAACCCACCAGTCACTGGAGTATAGGGAACCCACCAGTCACTGGAGTATAAGGAACCCACCAGTGGCCGTATCACCCAAAATAAGTGAATAAACAAACAAACAAATTCTTTCCCCCCAGAAATATTTAATCAACTCTGAAATGCAATCAGTTATTATTCTACTTTGGTCAATACTCTGGTAGAGAAAGATGACTTATTTTCTTTCACATCAATACTCAGGAATTGACTATACAGTACATTTTTAAAAATTGAAGTAGAAATGTCAATTGTCAATAAGGGTACAAGCTAAACTGAAATCCTTTCTTCCTGATATTTTTATTGTTCCCTAAACTGTCAACCAAATACAACTAATAAATATAATATGGCTATATGTTAATACTTTATTACCCTTTCCATTTTCATAAAAGACCAACTCAAATTATATCTTTTATTAGTATCTGCTGAGTTTCAAGTTGTAAATGAAATCACAAGCAGTCTCAGAGTATGGTTTGATGTCTTTTAAGGTTATTAAATTGGCTCAGCACACCTTTGTTAGCTTCCTGCATGTTCTTAAGGAAAAACCTTTAATGTGCTTTACTTATGACTTGTGCTCAGGTCTTGAAGAATTCATAAATACATTCCTCTTTCAAGCTCATCCAATTAGTTTAGTGATTAGTGAATTTACCTTGATTTTCATTCAGATTTTAAAAAATAGTTTGAGATTATAATGACATGCTTTCTCCCTTCCCTTTCTTCCCTCCAAGTTCTCCTATAATGTACTGCCCTGCTCTCTTTCAAATTCATGAGCTCTTTTTTCTTTAATTGTTGTTTTGTGTGTATGTGTGTTCCTACTTTTAAAAGATGGTTTGTTGTCTCATTGCCTTTTATCCTCTTTCTTCTTACCTATCTTAATTTTATAAAAGGGTAGCAGGAGAAGCTTATGCTTTCTTCCTTACATTTATTCAAGCAGAAAACGGGTTTTAAAATTGACTGGATTGACCACAAATAATGCTACAAACAAAACTTGGAAAATTTCCAAAATGATGCAGCAAGGTGAATCACACCATACAAATGTATATATAACCGTGAGGAGTTTTGTGTGGACAAAAGCTGATTATGTTAAATATTTCCTGAAACTGCATGCTATTGTCAGACCAAATAATCACTAGTAAGACACCCAGGTTAAAAATGGAAACATTTGTGGGAGTCCTGCCTCACATTGTGCTGTCACAGAAGAATGTATTTTAATGGTTTTGAGTGATTATGGAAAAGGTTTTCTTTATGTAGATTTCTGATCTGGAAGTTAATATTATTAATCCTTCCATGTTAGCTTTGCTGTTTGGAGAAAGACTTGAGGCTGGATGCAACTGATGGCCATGATGATGGAGTTAATGTGATTTCAAAGGAAAATTTATGTTTTTGTTAGATTAAATTCATTTTCTGGTTCTCTAAGTGAAAAAAGAAAGAGAAACAGTATTACAAGTCAAAGGAGCACTATATAAATTATTTTCTTCCTGTATGTACCTTGAGCACACATACAAGTACTCTATCAAAGCCAGAAAAAGTGTTCTTTTCTCTATCTCCCACCATTAGAAAGTGAAAAAAAATGTATATATGCACATATGCTTTTGTATTTAATGGTTATATCATAGTTGAAGTGCCAGTTTCATACACAAATCTGTCTTTGGGTTAACTTGAATTGTGACATCTATTTGATAATTATTAATCTCAAAGAACTCTCTCTGTGTGTGTGTGTGTGTGTGTGTGTGTGTGTGTGTGTGTGTGTGTGTGTGTTTTCCTGGACCCCAGGTATTGACATTTTATTTCACTCTTCATATCCAACTGTGTGGCAATATTGAGTCACTGATGAAGACTGAAGGGAGGAGTAGGTAAGCAACTCACTAGACTAGTACAGTATTAGTACAGTGGTAAGGTACTTCATTTCTTATGGTACTTTAAACAATTATGGTTTGAAGTTTTCAGAGAATGGAGGATTTCTCTGAGATTTTTGGTCAGACTAGAGAGGTTAATGGAAACCAAGTCATGCAGAGATTTTTATTTGTGAACTCTTACTCAAGAATGTTGTCCAGATTTTGTGGAATATTTTTTTCATTTTATGTAGTAATTGGTTCTTGATTAGGAGTGTGTGTGTGTGTGTGTGTGTGAAACTTTTTCACTGGGATTATAAGTGAGAACATAATATCAGATTTTTTAAATTGACTTTTTGTTTTCTAGGGGTCCCTTCAGTGTTGTACGGCGATGTATCAACAGAGAAACTGGGCAACAATTTGCTGTAAAAATTGTTGATGTAGCCAAGTTCACATCAAGTCCAGGGTTAAGTACAGAAGGTAAGAGATGGATTTCAAGTAAGTTATTTGATGTCTGGCTTTATTCCATTTCCAAAATCCATTTATCAACCTATCCTCATCTGGGGGTGGGGAATCGGGGTGTGATGTAGCGGGGAAGTGGGTGGAGACAGTCTGAACTGAATTTGAAACAGTTGCTCAGAAATCCAAAAGATAGCATTTAAAATATGGAAGGGTTGTAGTCATCTGGGATCTTTATGAGCTTGTTTGTTTTTTTAACTAGAAAGAGAATGAAATATGTTCACATATTTTTAGGGTTTAATTTGAGTCCTGTTGTGTGAGATGTATGATCGGAAAGGAAGTAATAGCAAAGATGATGATTGAAGATTTAAAAGCATCCAAGGTTCTTCTAAATATAATTTACTGTCTTTAGGATTACTATCTAGTATAACTAGCGAATGAATATTTGATTCACATTTGGCTTAATCACATAGCAATTGTGAAAGTTGAAAAGTCAGTATTGGAATTTGTAGGACTTAGACTTATGTTGTAAGATATTGTTATATATAAATGTGCATTTGAAGTTACTTATTTTAAAAATAGATGCCATAAGTCACACTAAAGGTGACAAAGCTGATTATTATATTGACTTTTCTAATTAGCCTATCTACTAACTTTAGACTTCCACAGCCTCCTTTAGTCTTTTGCTTTTTAATTTTAAAGCAATGCAATTGAGAGTTTAGATTAGAAAATTCAAGCTGAAGTATCCCATTTGTGTTTTATCCAATTATCTCATTTTGGAAAGTAGAATATCACACACTGTGAGCTCCAACTTAATCTATTCCTATAGATTTTCATTCGTGTTGATTACCTTTAAATATTTTGTGACTCTTTTATAAAAAGAAGTTTTTTCTCTTTTTTGGTTGGGGAGGCTTCCACCCAGCTCCCAAATGAATCCCACACAGAGGCCTATTCTTAGTTATGAATCTCTGGCCTTAGCTTGGCATGTTTCTAGCCAACTTTTCTTATCCTAAATTATCCCGTCTACCTTTTGCCTCTGGGCTTTTCCTGTTCTTTTACTTCTGTAAATCTTAGGTTTACTCCGTGGATTGCTGTGTAGCTGGGTGGCTGGCCCTGAAGTCCTCCTCTCCTTCCTCGTTTTTTCCTATTTATACTTTGTGCCCACCAGCCCAGCCTACCCTTGCTCCTGCCTAGATATTGGTTGTTCAGCTTTTTATTAGGGCCACCAGGTGTTTTAGACAGGCACCGTAACACAGCTTCACAGACTTAAACAAATGCAACATAAGCAAAAGTCGCACACCTTAAAATAATATTCCCCAACACTCTTTAAGTTATTATTATCAATATAATGTTTTAGAAGATTCTTAAAAATTACTACTAAGAGGCTGGAGAAATAGTACACATATATGCAAGCAGGCAAGACCCCCATACAAATAAAATAAAAATAAATAAATCTTTTAACAAACTTTTCTTTAAGTTCCTACTTAGAAACAATCCCTTACTGATTTGTTTTCAGGTAAAATGGTATACATCCATTTAGATTAAATAAACATGACCATACTGCAGGAGGGAAAATCTTAGTAAAATTTAGATGTTTCATAGTTGATGATTTCATTGTCAGAATTGGCCATTTACTACTTTTAAATATAGGTTATTTTATATGCTTAGCAAAATGTAAAGTTTGCCTTTCAGTGGACTTTACAGTTAGATTTTTCCTTTGAACTATTTTGTTTTATGTTTGGTTGTGTTATTTTCTTTGTTGTGCTGGGGATCAAACCCAGGGCCTTAGGCAAGCTAGGCAAGTTCTGTTTCTCTTACCTTTTAATTAGTCAGTAACCTATTAAGGGAAACCTTCCTGAGTACTGAGATAATTTTGTTCAATCCTGATTATTAAACAAGTAGATGTTTTGAAACCTTATAAAAAGCTCTGATATTGTTTATAAACTTAGTGAGATTCTAATATAAAATTACAAATATTAAATCAATTATTAAATTACCTATATTAAATTACAGTAATATAAGTGAGATCTCCTTATATAATATTACAAATAATTAAAATAAATACTTATTTCTTAGCTCCAAAATTTTAATATCAAAGATAGGATTTTTCTTATCATTGCACCTACTTGTGTCTTTCCAGGGTAAAGATACTTTTAAAGGAGACAACTACTTGCTCATTTGTCTATAGTGAATTATTAACAGATTTCTTTAGCCAGATCTCTGGAACTCTAAACCCAGAATATGAGAATGAATCTCTATTACCACTTAGAGCAGAGCATGGTGAGTTACACCTTTAATCCTAGAATTTAGGAGGCAGAGGCAGAGATAGATGGATTTCTGTGATTTCAAGGACATTCTGGTCTAAAGAGTTCCAGACCAGCCAAGACTATATACTGAGACCCTTTCTCAAAAAAAAAAAAGCTAAAAAACCCCATTTAGTCAGACATTAAAACACCAAATTTTTAAAAGGAAGGCAGTAGTACATATAATTTATTTGTATTCCTGGTTTGAAGTTCTGTCTTTACTTAATATTGTATATATGTATTCATCGTGAAGTTGTAGTTCACTGTTTCATTGCTTTGATGATTTAAAAAAAATGTCAAGTTCTGTCCTGAAAGCAAAACAAAGCAATTCAATTGATCCTTTATACTCTTTGAACCAATTGGAATATTGTACTATTTCTCTATGAATGTTATCTACCTACATACTTTAAATGATACCCATTTGAATTCTTCATATTACCCATGGCTTTATCTGTTTTGGGTCAGAATTCAGTGGTATTCTAGTGAAATTATGCTATTGGCATATTCATGATATTATCCTTTAGTTTTTCCTGTCTTTATCCGCACAGTGACTTACTGTAAGTTAACCAAGAAACAGAATCAAATTTCACTAGTGCGGTCTCATTTTTTGTAATGGAATGCCCATACCCTCTATTGATCTTATTCACACTAGTTTACTTCATTTTGACTTTGTCACATTTTATAAGATATATAATAGATGTGATAAATAGTAAATTATTATATAAAAATCTCTGAATATTGACCCCCTTTATGACCTTTCTGCCCAACTTCTTTTATCCCTTTTGCAGTTACTATAAGCAAAAAAGTCTGCTTCTTTCTCTTCTATTCCGTTTGTAAATTTTTAGGATCCAAAAATTTCCTGTTCCATGGCAAAGCATATAAGACATACTGTATTAAGAAGAAACAATTATTGAAGTGACATTTAGCATGGTAAAGCAGAACCTAAAAATTCAAGTAAGACTAACTAGAAATATATTTGATTTCCAACTATTTAAGACAATTTCTGATTTTTTATGAATTTTATTTAAATTAGAAGTGATCCTATTTTACATATCAATCCCAGTTCCCTCTCCCTCACATCCTCCCATGCCCCCCGACCACCCCCCCATCCGCTCCCCAGGGAGGGTGAGGTCTTCCATGAGGGGTTATCAAAATCTGTCAAGTCATTTGGGGCAGGGCCTAGGCCCTCCTCTGTGTATCTAGGCCAAAAGAGTGTCTCTCTATGGGAAACGGGCTCCCAAAGTCCGTTAATGCGCTAGCAATACATCCTGGTTCCACTGCCAGAGGCTCCATAGACTGCCCAGTGCTCCTAGCTGACGCCCACATTCAGGGGGCCTGGTTTGGTCCTATGTTGGTTTCCCCAGCTGTCAGATTGGAGTTCATAAGCTCCCACTTGCTCAGGTGGGTTTTCCCAGCTGATCTTGACCCCTTTGTTGGTCACTGCTCCCTCTCTGAAGCTGGATTCCAGGAGTTTGGCTCAGTGCTTAGCTGTGGATCTCTGCTTATGCTTCCATCAGCTATGGGATGAAAGGTAGTCATCATTTTCATTATAGGGGAAGGGCATTTAAGGTAGCTTCTTCACTATTGTTTAGGTTCCTAGTTGGGGTCATCCTTGTGGATCTCTGTACAATTCCCTAGTGGCAGATTTCTCTTTAAACCTATAGTGGCTTCCTCTATTGATGTGTCTCTTTTCTTGATCTCCTCTATTCCTCTCCCCTCTCAATCTTCCTGATCCCTCATGTTCTCCTACCCCCTCCTCTTCTTCCCTTCTCTTTTTCCTACCTACTTCTCCTTCCCCCATGCTCCCAATTTGTTCAGGGGCTTTTTGTCTTTTCTCCTTCACTGGGGGACCGTGTATGTCTCTCTTAGGTCCTTCTTGTTTCCTTGCTTCTTTGGAGGTGTGGATTGGAGGGTGCTAATCCTTTGCTCCATGTCTAATATCCGTATATGAGTGAGTACATACCATGTTTGTTTTTCTGTAGCTGGGTTACCTCACTTAGGATGGTTTCTTCTAGTTCCATCCATTTCAAGATTCCATTGTTCTCCCCCCTTCCCCGCTGAGTAGTACTCCATTGTGTAAATGTGCCACATTTTCTCTATCCACTGTTCGGCATCTAGGTTGTTTCCAGGTTCTGGTTATTACAAATAATGCTATGAACATAGTGGAACAGACATCCTTGTTGTATGAATGTGCATTCTTTGGGTATATGCCTAAGAGTGGGATTGCTGAATCTTGAGGTAGACCGGTTCCCATTTTCCAGAGAAACCGCCATACTGTTTTCCAAAGTGGCTGTACAAGTTTGCACTCCCACCAGCAGTGTAGGAGTGTTCCCCTTTCTCCACATCCTCTCTAGCATAAACTGTTGTTGGTCTTTTGGATTTTAGCCATTCTAAGGGTTGTTTTGATTTGCATTTCCCTGATGGCTAAGGATGTTGAACAATTTCTCAAGTGTCTCTCAGCCATTTTAGACTCCTCTATTGAGAATTCTCAGTTTAGTTCTGTACTTCCAGTTTTTAATTGAATCCTTTGGTGTTTTGGTGGCTAGCTTCTTGAGTTCTCTGTATATTTTGGAGATCAACCCTCTGTCTGATGTGGGGTTGGTGAACATCTTTTCCCATTCTGTGGACTGCCTTTTTGTCTTGTTGACTGTGTCCTTTGCCTTACAGAAGCTTCTCAGTTTCAGGAGCTTCCACTTATTAATTGTTGATCTTAGTGTCTGTGCTACTGGAGTTTTA